AGAACCCAAATCAATTATTTCACTCATGCATTAATATCTTCTTTCATCCGTCAAACTTTCCAAATAACCAAATAAAAATTTACAAATATAAATGTTAACTTGACAATTTTCGGGGGCAATTCCTAGCACATGGAAGTCTCTAGTTTCTACTAAATGTAGATATATCAGAATATTAGCGCCGCAGGCGAAAATTTTTGTGTTTTTGGGTCTAGATTTGGTGGAAATTGACTAAAAATAATCAAATTTTAAGAAAAATTTGCAAAAAACCTAGAATAGGTCCAAAAATGGTCGAAATAGGCTCAAAATAGGTCTTAGGTCCGAAAAGGCCGAAATAGGTTTTTTAGGTTTTAATAACTTGAAAAGTACGTTACACTATACGGTAAAACAGTGTTTTTTCGACTTATTTCATCAGGGGCTGTTCGCAAAAAAAATAGGTAAAAACCTAAAAAAACACGCTCTAATAATTAGTGTAAAAGAGAAAATGTTGGAGGGGTCAAACAATAAATTAAATTATTTTTAATTTTCAAAAAAAAATCAAGAAATGATTTAAAAGGTTTTGTGAAATGTAGAGGGAACATGGAGGGGGTAGTCGTCCGTAAGGGGAAAACTATTAAGAAAAGAATAGAGCGTTTAAATCAAAAATTCTAATTTGTAGCAGCCAACGATTTTTAATATTTTAAATATGGCATTTTTAAAGTTTGTACTTTAGATAATATCCTTACCTATATTATTCTTACCTATATTCTACCAAAATTTGAAACAGATCCATTTAAAGGATATTGATAAAAACTAGGTGGCGCTATCATTTTGTTACAGAGTATAGATGCAGAACTATTAAAAAATATATGATTTTTATAAAACCAAAGAGAGATTCAACAACTACAAAATTCTTTAGATACGAGTAGCAAGAAGGATGTTTAGTCTACCGCAGTCATAACTAAGCATACAATTGGCAGAATAAGACTATTTCTAGTACCAGACAACACACTAGGTCCAGATTAGTCAGACTATGTCAAAACTGAACTGATCCGACATACACAAGATCGGTATAAAGTATCGGAGGTATACTGTAAAAAAATTGATTTTTATCTTATTTATAATTCAATCAGGTAATTTAATCGACTAATTCCAAACAATTATTTCATTTAAAAATAACATCAATTGTGACGTTAAACATAAAAAAATTTCCAAAAATTTTTTTCTTAGCTCTCCTTACATACAAAACAATTCCCCTTCGAAGAACAAAAATTAGCACACAAGTCCATCACTTTTTTTTATTTATTTTTATCAGTAACGATCTCTTACGCGCTATTTTTAAAGCAATCAGGCGTGAATAAATTGACCGTGTCTTTTTCCTTTTTCTTTTCTTTCTCGCCTTTTAAAAGATAAAAATACTTAATTTTCACGCTGTTTTTATGAACACATACTTGATAGAATGAGGATAATTTAACGTGACGAATTGTGTAAAATTAGAAAAGAGAAAAGGAACAAGAGCAATGACCAACAAACGGAAGAACACAGCCCGAGGGTGATGAATAAAAGGAGAACGATCGGGGAGAAAAAGGGTTGTTTGGGCGCGGGGATATTTTGGGCGTTGACTAGAAAATCGACAAATGAGGGCTTGGAAGTTGGAAATTTTCTGAAAACATCTTCAAATGTGTTGGCTAGATAGTCTAAAAATTTCAGAATTTTTGGTTCAATATTTTGGGAATTATAATAGAAAACGCCAAAATCGAAAAATTGCCGGTTTCTCAGTATTTTATGCGTAAAACTTAAAAAATAGTGAATAAAAAATTCTGAAATTTTTAGAAAAGATAAATAAGATCCGAGAGAACATTTTTGCAAAATTCCATGCTTCTAGGTCCTCAATAACTAATTAATAACTTACTCGACGCCATAGCTTAAACGCGCCGAAACGCCCATTAAAAGCGATCGAGGCGTGAAGAAAGCAAATTTACAATTAAAAGAGGATCGAGGCCCTGGTAATTCCAAGGCTGGTCCCCCCCCCCCTTTTTTTTCTGTTCGCCTGACCATTTTGAGATTTTTTGCTTTAAATATAATTTACAATATATCATTTGAAAGAGCTGTTCGAGCTGAGTAGAATGATACTATGATCGGATAGATTTGTCGATTTTGAACCAAATTATGAAGATAAATCCTTGATGGACATGCTTTTTGTGGTGTTGAAAGGGATTAAAACAAATGGTCATAACTATGTTTATTTAAGTCGGATTTCGATGAATTTAGCACCGTTCTACTCAGCTTGAAGAGCTCTTTCGAATGATATATAATTTGCATAAAAAGTTTAAAAAATCGAAAAAAATTGAAAGGAAAAAAAGGGGGGGGACCAGCTTTGGAATTACCGAGGCCCTTTCCTTTTTTATTACTTTTTCTTATCTGCGTGAATCACTGCAAAAAATTTTTTTTACACAGAAAATATTCAGAAAACAAGTAACAACAACCACTTGATAGAAGGGAAGGGAAGCAAGCAAGGGAAGCAAGTCAGTCACAAGCAGCAAGTCCATAAAATGCAAATTAATTTTTACGATTGTTTGCCTGAGTAATAAAGTAGCCCCCAAAAACAATCATAAAAATAGTAGAGAGATATAATATTTAGATGCAAACATTAAACTCTATTTTTTTATTGCAAATTATTGGAGAGAATATCACAATCCTTGGGAAGTGGGGCGAGAATGAGAAAAGGGGGAAGGGAGGGGGAAGTAATTTGAGAGGGGCTAACTTTAAATTCAACAATTTTTCGAAAAATAAATATTTTGGGACAATTTTGGTATCATTTGATAGAGCAGAAATTCAGCTACAAAAAACGATATGGATCGAAGTTTTGGGGGATGAGGGGAAATAAGTAAAGGAAGAACAAGAAGTGAAGGAAAGCAAGTAGCATCTCTCAATTTATATCTTCAAAACTTTTTTACAGAATAAATATTTTGGGATAGATAGCATTTAATTAAAGAAGGAAGTTATTAGCTAAAAATAAAATTTAAAAAACGATTTACAATGATGAGATAAAAAAGTTAAGGACAAAGAAACGTGAGTGGATAGGAGAAAGGATATTAAAATCGAGCTAAGTTTAAGCAAAGGTCTGGGGGTTTTACTGTATATATTGATAAAGATCGAGCTTCCTAGATTCTTCCTGAAGGCTGGGTGTCATGGATTCCAGGGCAATTTTAAAAAATCTTGATCTAGTAAAAAGAAGAGGATGGACTAAACGAACGGCCATCAATGAAAAATAACTTTTGATTTATCCAGATATCTCGAGATTATTATTCTGAAAGGTTAATCCAATCAAAAGTATAATAAAATTTAGAGCCCTTCGAAACAGCAATAAATTGCCCTAAAAAATAATAAAAACTAACAACATAAACAAATCGTTAAATCACCTCAACTGCTGTAGAGCAACAAAAGTTTAAAAATAAAAAAAGATAGAGCAAAAACTACCCTGTCAAAAAAAGCCGTAAAATCAGCGAAGGTAAAAGTCGTTAAAAATTAAAATAATTTTTTCGTTCGTTCAGGTAAGAGAGATAAAAAAATTGGGAAAGTTTAGTGATAAATTAAGGGGGAAAATAAACAAAAAAAATTTTAGAATTTGTTAAAAGAGGTATATCACATTTTGTGTTAGAAAAATTAATTTATTTTGAAAAATTTTTTTTGAAAAAGTTAAAAAATTTTAGAAGACAAAAAGAGGGGAAGAAAAGGAGAAAATAAAGTAAAAATAAAATTTTGGTGTAGTGGGATAGTGGTTGGTTTTTCCCTAAAAAGGGATGAAGGTTCGAACCCCTTTAGGGGGAGATAATTTTTATTTTGAAGAAAAGGGGGTAATTAAAGGTTTTAAAACATTTACAAATTATTTTAAGCATTAATAACTTTTATTTTAATTAGAAAAGAAGGGATTTGTAGAGTAAAATTACGAAGAAAGAACAAAGATAAGGGCCTTTAGTCAAAATTTCATGAATTTAAGTCAAACAAAGGTTTTATTTTAGTAAATGGATCCCATGGAAATGTATTTGTCCAAATACTAAAATTTAAAAAAATAAGTCAGCTCGTTGCAGACCAGGGATGGATAATTTTCAAGTTTTCAAAGTGTAAAGTGGAAGCGGAATAAAATAAAAAAGCGGCATACGAAAGGCGGAAGGGTGAAGGATCAAAATAAAAATAATTAAGGAACGCAAGCATACTACCGAGACGCTAATCATGAACAAGAACCCAAATAAATCTCATAAATTTAAAAACAAACCGTCTTGAAGTGACAAATTGTAAACTACTTGAAGAGCTGAAGATTTAACTTGAGAAGTCTCTCCATAAGACAATAAAGAAGAAAAAGAATCTAATTTATTTGTTGCAATTAAAACAGCAAAAGATTTGACTGATGAAAGGTTAACTACCAAAAATCCTTTAAAAAATAAAAAATATACTACAACAATTTTTAAAGAAACCTAAATAAGTTGACAAGTCGCTGTTTTTGTTTTTGGAAGTATTTTGAGTTAAAAAGTGATCTGAAATATATAAATTAAAAAGATATAAACAAAGAGAGGTTTTAAAGACAAAAAAATGATACTGAAACGCCCAACATTGAAAAACTGTCCGCAAATTTTGTCCGCAAAAAATAGTCCGCAAAATTTTATGGAATAAATTTGTCCGCAAAAAATAATTGTCATTTTGCGGACAAAAAACAATCAAAAAACCTCAAAGCTGAATCCAGAAACTAGAGATCGAGCTGGATCTGATCCAAGGCTTGGGTTTTTCCTGTACCCAGAGTCCAGGCCCAGGCATTTTTTGACCCTCCTGTTTTTTCCTGGGCCTGGGCTTTCCTGGACTACAGGCTCAGGATCTAGCCCAGGTCAATAAAACAAACTCCAGAGTCCAGAGAAAGGCCCAGGCTTTTTAATTTTGAGGAAAAAAATTTTGTCAGCAAAAAATAATTATTTTGCGGACAAAAAACAATAAAAAAACCCCAAAATGTTCCGGAAACTACCCCCCCCCCCTTACCCAAAAATTAAATTAAAAAATAAACCAATCAATTTAGAGCCAAATTCATCATCATAACAATTCAATTTATCCACAAATTGTTGAGGAAATTGCCTCGAAATATTAACAAATAATTGTGCAGTAAAAGTAGAATATTCCCCCTCCTCCTCCTCCTCCAAAAATTTGGACAATTTTAAAATAATTTGTTTAGAATTAATTAAAAGAGGGGAAAATTGAGAGGATTTAATAGCCGTTAAATTAATTAAAATTGACAATAATAAAATTAAATTTGAAGAAGAAATTGTTGGGGAAGGGGAGAAGAATTGAGCAATTTTTTGGAAAAATAAAAAAATTTCGTTGTTGGATAAATTTTTAAAATAATTTTCTTCTAGTTCTAACAAAAGTTGTAAGGCTGTGGATAATATGTGGTTAGGTGTTGAAGGGTGGAGAAATTGTAGAATTTCTGAGAAGGACATTCTTCTTTTCTTTTCCTGAAAAAAATTTTTTTTTGAAATTATTTTCTGATTTTTCTCTAATGCTGTGCTTACATGAAAATCGCACGCGTCTTGCGACAGAAAATAACACTCAAAATGAGGAAAGACAAAATTGCGCGCGATTTTGTCTCCTCTTTTTCCATTATCTTTTCTGTCGCAAGACGCGGCGATTTTTATGTAAGCACAGCATAAAATTCTTAAATTTAATTTAAAAAATGAAAATTTTTTATAATTGTCTAGACTCTAATATGTTGAAATGAGAGAGAATAAACATGACAGTTAGAGAAAATAAAATAGAAAATCCATTTTGTCGCAAGGTATTTTGTCGCGTACCTAGTATTCTTGAAGGAATTTAGGCCTGTTTGGATACGGGCATCGACAATTAAAGTTTTGCGACAAAGCTATTTGCACCAAAGTGGCGTTTATATTTTAGGTAATTTGGCAGAGAAAATCTCTCTTTGTTTACTACACTATTTCTTTAACTTTTTAGGCCTCTTTTCTTAAATTTGATGGAAACTTGAGTACAAGAAAAAAGCAATTGGTATTTTTCAATTAGAGGTCGGCGCGGGACGGGGTCCCTGACGGATTTTTTTTTGATTTTCGGGATCATTCGGGATCCGGGATTTTTCGGGATTTATCTCTCGGGATCCCGTCCCGGCATCGGTTAAGAAAAAAATCACGACTCGTGATCCTGGAAGTTCGATTTTGCCTGCTCTAGTTTTTCAATCTATTTTTTAATTTTTTTGTAAACTTTTTTAACGCCTTTAAATTAATTTAACAACTCTTTTTTTTTCTAGTTTAAGATGGCAGAAGTTGAATATAATTTAAATCATTTTATTGAACAAGTTAGAGAAGAAGTGGATGATAAAGGTTTTCTTTCCCTTTTGATTATTAAAGTTTAATTTTTAAAAAAGATCTTGTTGGAGATTTATTATATGAAGAACCGAGAGAATCTCGTTATGAAGAATGTTGTATTATGGTTTTTAATATTCCGACGGTTGGAGAAGACAGGCTTGAAAAATTGAAGAAAGTTTTGTCTGGAGTGTTTTCTTTGCAGAATATGTACAAATTTAATGATTATTATCCGCTTAATGAGGAGGGAAAGACCAAGGTTTTTTTGACTTAAAAAAATTTTTTTGGTTGACTTTTAGGGCCCTTTATGTATCCCACATCTTCCATTGTTTTACTTTAGGTAATTATATTATTATTTTTGGGAAGATATGGCTCCACGTTTAAAAATTGATAGGTTTCCAGTGGCAGTTCTAATTTAAGCATTCAGAATCTCAGGATGCTCCACCTTTTTGTTATTTAGACAGGTTTTGGACTCATGTTAATCTTCCCTTTTGTTAGACCCGAGATTCCCTTTTCTTCCTCCGCTAACCGGGTAATTCGAGAGATTTTTTGATCGAAATCTGTTACAGCATTACATTTATCCGTCAGACAATTTATCGATTTCCCACTGATTTAATATTCTTTTCTCTTCCCTTATACTTTTTAATCACATTTTCCCATTCCCAGTTATTCTACATCCTTTCAGGTTGCCTTTGACTTTAATAAGCCAAAGGAAATATTTTTTAATAAAATTTCCAAAATTTTTAGGGTTACGTTTTTCTCGAATATGAAAATAAAGAAGCAGCAAATGCTGTTAGATCAATTTGTGAGGGATACAAACTTGACAAGAACCATACTTTTTCGTCTTACCCGTTTTCTGCTTTGAGGGATTTGAAGGAGCCTAGTGCTAATTGGAAAATTCCGGAGAAGCGTTCTTATGTTGATTTGGTTCGGGGTTTTTAAGTACTATTGCATTTTTTTCTCCCCCTAGTGTCCGCAAATGTTTGTCTGGCCTTTTCCTTCCTCCTTTCCCCTCTCATGATGATTAAGAAATGAAGTCCTTCTTATAAAGACTGCCTTATTTAAATTATCTCCTGACTATGTTTCAGTCGTTACGAGAGGAGTTAGAAGGAAGAAAAAGGTCAGACAATCTTGCGGACAAGCATTTGCGGACGTTGAGGGGGATAATGCGATAGTGCAGTTTTTTGTATTTTTTTAATTAAAAAATGTTCTTAAGGGCGATCGTTGGTGGTGGCTTCAAAATACAAAATGCCTCGATCAATTTGCTATACAATATGAAGACGATGGTGGTCTTCAACTTGAAGTTTTTACACACGCTAAAAATGGGGATCCAATACTTGTTCAACAGAGAACGGTTTTTTTCTTTAAAAAATTTTTCTTAAAGATTCTGTCGAATTTAGAATTGGTCAGAAGACAGTATTTTCAAATGGACTCCTCATGGTTCGTATTTGGCATCTCTTCATGCTAGAGGGGTTATTCTTTGGGGAGGAAAGGAATTTAAACAATTTCAACGTTTTGAACATGGAGGGGTTAAACATATTGAATTTTCTCCTAAAGAAGGGTATTTTTTATAAAATTTTGTTAGATTGATACTTCGGTACTTATTGGTTATCCCAAATCAGTTTTTGCGAACATATTTATGCAGACTCATTTTTGCACGGAAGGGGCAAAGGAATGGTTTTGCGGATATAAAATGTCCGCAAAACCTACTTTGAGATAACCAATAAGTATCGATATTTCTCTGAAAAAGGGGGGATTTTCAGAAAATCTCAGATTCTCAAGGGTGGCCAAATGCCCCGCGTCATAGATCCCTACCCCTAACCCATAGGTTAGAAAATTTTTTTATTTCGTTTTGATTCTAAAAAAAATTTTTTTCGTTTTGAGTAGCTCTGTTGGGAGACCTTCTCCCAAATTAATTTAATTTTTTTCAAAGTTATTTGGTCACATATGCTTGTAACACAAATGGCCGTGATAATGAAATGTTTAAAATATTTGATGCATTTACTGGAGAATTAAAAAGAACATTTTCTCCATTTGGAAAAATGTCAACTTCAACAACAAATAAACAATTAAATTTGCCTTTTGTTAAATGGTCTTTTGATGAAAAATATTTTGCTTATTCTAGAGCTTCAAGTGAATGTTTAAATGTTTTTAGTTGTGAAGATTTTAAATTATGTGATGGAAAAACTGTTGAATTGGAAGGATTGGCTAATTTTAGTTTTAATTCTGCAAAGAATATTATTGCTTATTATTGTGAAGAAAAGGTTTGGAATTTTTTTTGAGAAATTTTTTTGGAAATTTTTTTTTGAAAAAAGATTCAACATCCTGTTCATTGTCAGTCAGATTTTTATTTTGTCGGCTGACTAATTTTTTTGGGTCTTATAACAGTTGGGGCTGTCTAATGAAGTCGTAACTAGTAAAGTAGTCAAAGCGACTTTATTGTGGTGTTACTCGTCGCACCCCGCCGAATGTGTAGAATCAACCAAATTAGAGGAAGTATAACTTCCATAAATTTTGATTAAAATCCTGTGGCTTTAGAGTCGCTGTGGAATAGAATGGACGGGTTGAGAAAAAAAGTCGGGTCTTCAAAATTTTCTTCGGATCGGTTATCGGGTCGGAAATGTCTGGATTTCGGGTAACCCGTCCCATCCCTACTGTGAATTGGGAGTAGAGACCAAACCGAGACGAAATTCGAACCTCTAATTAGGAATATTCGTCCTTAGTCTAGGTCACTAAAATTCTGGCTAGCTTTCTCGTACCAATTTTTATTCTCACATCGGTTCTACAAATATAAGTTTACTTATTAGGAATTTATTAACAGAATCCTCAAAAACGCAAAACTATTTTTAAATTTTATAAAAATCTAGGAAAATTTAATTGGGATCAATTGTCTCATCTTCTTAAATGAATTTTTTTCTTTTTTCTTTTCTAGTCAAATGCAAATAGACCGGCAGAAATTGGAATAATGGAAATTCCTTCACGCACAAAACTTCGAGCACAAAGAATTTTTGGAGTTTTTCAAGCAAATATTTTTTGGCAAAAGAGTGGATTATATTTGGCTGCACACACTGAACGTTATCAAAAAATGAACGTAATTAAAAATAAGGAAGATGTTAATAAACCTGCAGAAATAAAATATTTGGTTTGGATTTTTTTGGGGGGAATTATTTAAAAAAAAAGTTGGGTTCTGAGACCGTCTCTAAACTACAACCGTCCCTAAACATTATTCCCGAGTAATTGAGAATAAGTCGACAGTTACACCGAGTCTGTCGAGTAAATATTAGGATGTTAGGATCCTCCCCCCAAGTATTAGGATTCCAAGTTCGAGCCCGAATAAAGACGAAAAACCCGATCGATCGAGTAAATAAAAAATACTCGGACGTACTCTACTTTCAAATCCCTTCACTTTTTACTTAAATTTTGGGGGGACTTTTCTGTTACTTGGCTTTCAGTCCAATTATTTTTCTCTTTCTCCAGAAATATAAGAGTAACATTAATCAAACCTTCGAAGCCTCTACGTATATTTTTTTTGTTAAATTTTATATTTTTAGGGTGTCACATCCCATTTAGAAATTTTTGATTGTACTGAAAAAACAATTTCTGTGTTAACATTACAGCTACCCGAACCTTTTTTAAATTTTGCTTGGGAACCTAAAGGTTTTTTTTGTTTTTTTATTTTATAAATTTGTTAGGAAATAAGTCCTAGATGCTAGAAATATTTTTTTAAGAATAAGTTGAATAGACCCCAAATTAATAGTTTATCCAGTAACTGCAGGATAGGTTCCCTGTGGTGCCACAAAGGAAAAAAGAAGATGGCTTCTTCTTGAACTTACAAAAATGACCAAGAGTATAGAAATATTTTTTGAACTAAAAAATATTTTTTAATAGATGAGAAAGTTGGAAGAGAGTCAACGACCTCCCTCACTTTCACAAACTACCATGGGTTTGTGAAGGTGAGGACACCCCAACCTACCGCCGAGCTATGACCTCGTTTAAAAGTATCGAATCTGGGAAGTATTTGATATGGTTCGATGCGCCTCGACGAGCTGAATCGAACCATACTAGGGTTTTGCGGATTCGACAATTTTGAAATAAGTTATAAGCTTGGCGGTACGTTGGGCTGCTCCCAACTACCAACTAATTTTTTCTTTTAAAAAATTTTTATTTTTTAGATTTTATTTTTAATTTTTCCAAATTTTAAAAAATTATTTAATTTTTTTCAATTTTTTAGGAAATAAATTTTGTGTTCTAGTCGGTTCAAATTCACCAAAAATAACTCCATTAATTTATCGTTATGACAAAGGCAAATCTGCCCCCCAACTTTTATCAAAAATTGAATCTGGAACAAATTTAAATTCAATATCTTGGGCCCCCCAAGGTGGTTGGTTAATTGTTTATGGGGCAAGTACTCCTGGAGGTTTAGTTTATTTTATTGATGCTAGTGGACAAACAGAAGCTAATAGAATTCGGTCTATTGAACATCCTTCGTTAACTAAGGTTTGTTTGCTTTTTGGGGGGAGGAGTGGGGGGATTTTAGTTGGGATATTTTTTTATTTGGTTTTTTTCTATCCATCTTATCCCAAGTCAGAAGAAAAAGCTAGTAAAAAGATTTTATTAATATTTAAAATTAGCGAAAAGGGAGATCCAGCTGGCTTATTGTTAGTATTTAAAACGCTTACTATGTATGAGGGTTTAGGATCTATTAAAACAAAAGTGAAATCACCATGGTACCTCAATTATTAAGTAAAAACGCTTGGTAATAACTGGCAAGGTCAGCCAGGTCACTCTCCTGGCTAATCTTCTAATCCTCTCCTACTATCTTACTATTGCTGAAAATTAGAACATTTTAGGGTTTAATTTGTGGTGTCAATTTTATTTTTGATCTTTTTCTGATTTTTTCTGTTAAATTTAATCTTTTATCATTTTCTGCATTTTTTCCTTGGATTAGTCATTGTTTTATCTTTGTTTTTAATTTTTTTATTCAAACGTTCAAAAAATTTTTTAAATTTTTATTTAACAATTTTTTCTTAGGCATTTTGGGACCCAACAGGACGTTATTTAGCAATTTGTTCATTTGGAGGCAAAAGTCGTTACGAAACTGGTTATCGAATTTATACATTTCTTGGAAGAGAAATTTTGCGAAAAATTGTTGATTCTTTGTTGCAATTTAGATGGAGACCTCGCCCACCAATTCAATTAAGTGAACACAAACTTAAAGAAATTAGAAAGACTTTAAAACAAAAATCACAACAATTTGAGGAGGAAGATAAGAGGGAATTACTTAAAGTGTCTAAGGTAGAAAGAAAAAAATTTTTTTTAGTTGTTTTTGTTAACGGAAAATAGTAAAAACTTCGAGTTTAACTTGAGGCCTTTGAGAGTTGCTGAGAATAGGCAAACCTCTAGGATTTTATTTGAAATTGAATCCTAGTCCATTTTGACTTGATGGGCACATTATCCAGGGGTTTTTTCTTCTAATTTTACCGGAGCCGGGTTTTCCAGATTAGAACCCCGGCCGCTTCGAAAAATAAAGATTTTATTAAAATACCCGGTTTCTGTGCTATTTTGCTGGATAGCCATGAATTTTAGGTTAAAGTTTTGTCTGTCTCACAAATCATAAGTCACATTATTATAGGTGTGTGTCTGTTCAAAGTAATCCTTGAAAAAATACAAAATTCCTTCATTAAAAATTTTTTTTCTTTTTCTAGGAAATTATTGAACTTCGTCAAAGTGCATTGGCTTTATTCAAAGAAATTCGACAACGTAGCCAAAATTATGATATTGAAGAAAGAGAAGAAAAATTAGCTTTGAGAGGTGGAAAAGATTTGAAAAAGATGGAATTGGATTTGGTAGAAGAAACAATTACAATTGCTTTGAATACAGAAATGGAGGAATTGAAAGAAACAAATACTGCTAAGGAGAGTGATGATATGGATTAATTGGAGAAATATTTTTTTTTGTTGAGTTTTTTTTGGTTTAAAAAATCTTTGTTGTGTTTATACAAGTATAAATAAATTTATTTTCGGAAAAAATCCATTCAAGAAATAGATTACTTTTGAATGGATTAGAGTACGAATTTTGCTTGAATCTGTAAAGGTGAACAATGTTTTTTAATGCCCGCATGTCGGAGTACACCTACATCTAGCCGAACATACCGCTGGCGTTCCTCTTTGTCGAACAACTTCACCCGTTGGAAAAACGAACCCCCGAAAAACGAATTTAAGGTTGACGAGACTTGATTGGAATATTTGTTCTTTTTTGTCCGTAGATACTTTAAATTATTGATTGGTAGACACTTTTGAATTTAATTTATTATAATCATTGGCATAACATTATTTACTTTAGAGATAGTCTATAAAGCAGAGAAGTAGAGATTTTCCTTGTGTGCTTCTTTTTCTTTAATTTCATAGTTTCTTTCGTTTTCCATTTTTGTCAACAACAAACTGCCCATCTTTCTGTTTTGACTTAGTTAGGGTTTTAAATCAATAATCTTCGTCTTTGATTCGGGGTATCATAGTACCACAACAAATTAATCTTTTATTTTTTTACATTTTTTAGAGTTCAAAATTTTTCAAAATTTTTCAAAATTTCAAAAATTTATTCCTACTCTTCCCTTCAATTTGATGAATGTATTTCGATGTGTCAGATCTTGTCAGGATTTTGATGTGTCAGCACCAGATGTGGGACCTGCTTGATACGATGGATGAAATATTAATAAAACAATCTACAAGGTTTTCAATTTTTTTGATTTTGGGTACAAGTGAAGGATCGGTTCACAAGAAAAAGAGCAAAGTGTGATCTTTCGACGTTTTTGAGATTTGTCAGTAATCGGGTGTACTAAGTCAATTACGGGTTTAGAATGATCAGGGACCTTCGTTAGGATTAGGATTGCTATTTTCGGGTCGGGCCGACGTTCGCACCATTTTTTCGAGCCCCATTTTTATCTAGTCGGTCCATACGAGTCTTTTTCGGTCCATTTATCTTAAGCCCGACTCGATCTTTCGGTCGGACCTTTTTGGCAACCCTAGTTAGGACACTAGCTATTAATGGCTCGTCTCATTTAGCTGGTTGAAGAATACAATGTTATTGTAACGCAAGTTTAATGTGGGCTGAAACAATTTTGATATCATTCAATTCAGATCGAAGAGAAGTGTCGGATTAATCTTAATTGTTTATTACACGCGTTTCCTATTGGCAAACCTCAAAATATCTAAAAAGCATTTTTTGCTTATTTTTTCTGTGGACAGGTTATCCTTACTTTTACCGATTTCTGAAATATGTGGGGCTGTTTTTTATTAGTACTAGGGTCGTACGAGACAACAGTTTAGCCCAGAACTTAACTGCAGATGCTTTACTTGCGTCTTAAGCTAGAATTAGAAACATTGGTTAAGTTTGTAACCTTCCTCCGATGCGGGTTCAAGAAGTTACCCGCTGCTTTTTAATTCAAACTTCACGTCGCGGCAAATCGTTTGTGGGGTTTTCAGTAGGTGATTGAGTATGCGGAGTCCGGATTATAGGCCCGTAGCTAAGAAAATTTTCAGGGAATTTTTTTGATTTTTTTTGCCCAATTTTGAATTCAAAAATGATTTTTTAATACATTACTTTTTAAAATTTAGGTAATGTTGAGAAAAACTTTAATTGCCATTTACTGTAACTACGCAACATCAATTGCTTTCTGCGCCGCTTTTGTTGGTATTTTGCAAGTTTTATTTTATATTTTTGGGCTAATATTGAAGAATTGAGTAGGGGTTTCCTCAGTAATTTTGTGGGATGAGATTCAAAAGTTGAATTTAAATTTGTGTTAATACGTTTGAATTTTTAGTTAATGTTCTAAAATTTGGTGTTAAGAGGTCTAGGCTATAGTAAGATTACTGGTCCCTAGAAAGATGAGGAACTGCTCTTCGATATTTTTGAGGTTTCCAGTAGGTGATTGAGTTTTTTTCGAATCCCGAACCCGAATTCGATCAGGTCAATAGCGGTTGTGAATTCGAAAATTGAAATTAGTGCTAACTTGGGAAAATTATGTTTCGACACCTTTCAACCAAATTCTGATTATTGATTATAAGCGAGTATTTATTTTTTATTCCAAACGTTTATTTAATTGATCATACCTTCGCTTAATGTTGGCAAATAATAATATGGATACGATTCAACTAAACTCTAAGAGATGAGTAAGAATGGTTTTAGTATCTTAATTTCAGATTTTTAACTCGAACACTACTTGGTCGAATTCGGGTCGATTATTTAATCGCAAGCATTAGCAATATCAGAAAAGCACTTTTTGCTTATTTTTCTTCTAGGAATCGGTAATCTTCACTATTAGCTGTTTCCGCCTTATTTTTTGTGCTTATCTAACCTCACCGCGGTTAAATTTTTTGTAGTACTTTTTCGGAAGGTTCGGCATTAGGTAATCAATTGTGCTGAGTGAATATGAATTCAAACTTACAATCTAATTGGCAATAAAACTTGAAAGAACTCTTCTTTCTCAATCCATTCTGGATGATTTTTGGTTAATCCAAAATGTCAACACTCAATTAATTCTCTCCTCTCCATTGATCTTTTGGGTCGTTCCTGGGTCGCTATAGTATCCACTGACGCATTTTCCGGTCATGGCAAGAATGAGTGTTATTATTTTGGATTGTGCTAATTCTTTCCTGTAGCATCCTAGTATAATAGAGAGGGAAATAATTTGAGTAGTGACATTTTGGATTGCGTTAATTCTTCCTTTCCTGCACTATCCAAAAATCAAAGGGAAAGGGAGAGAGTGAAATGTGTACATTTTGGATTACTTAATTATTTGCGATTAACTAGAAATCCACCAGAACGCGTGAAAAGTAGGAAGATATGTTTTCAGGTTTTATTGCCGATTCATGTTTATAAGTTTGAACTCATATCCGAACTTAGTATACGGACAAGGGAACACGCGAACTTTGACCAAAAATTGTGTTGTAACACGCCATTGTGTAGAGCGTTTCGATAACCTATTGCCAATTTTTGGCTTTTTGGCCTTGACCTCCAAATCGAAATGTTATAGTACATCAAAATTTTCAACTCTTGGAGCGGCTGAGTCTCACTCATAGAGAAATTTTGGATATAGTATAGTATACCGGTGGAAAGGTTTTGATATAAGACCCATACCATTCGATTCGTCTCGGCGAGCTGAGTCGAACGGTACCACACTTTTTTTCCGGAGATGCCTGTGGACCGAGATATAGGCCCCCGAAAATCGAAAAACCATAGGGGGGACCAAGCACTTTTTTGGGGTGAAAAATTTGATTTTTCGAGTGATAGCTCATTCGAAAGAGCTCATCGAGCTGATTCGAATGACACCAAAATGAGCTCGAGATCTTGAATTTGAGCCAAGATAAACAGGTTCAAAATGGTCAACATAAACCTATGGGTCGTCGGCGAGGCGCTTGTGCAAAACCCCGCGCTTCGCGCGGGGTTTTGCGGCACGCGCCTCGCGGGGAGTCTACGGGCTTTGGGTCTGGGCTCGTAACTTAATCCTATTCATATTATCGATGAAGTGGGCTTGCTCGGTTTCCTCCGCACCAGCAAACACAACGGATGACATAGGTAAGGAGCTAAAACAAACAGTCATAACTTTCTCAAATCAAGTCTGATTTTGCTGATTTTGGTGTCATTCGACTCAGCTCGAGGAGCTCTTTTGAATGAGCTATCATTTGTATATTCTAATTTTTTATCCAAAATTTGCCCTTGTATTTCTTCAATTTTCAGAGGTCTGTATCTCGGTCTAATCAATTCAGATTTAGTTGATTTTGATGTCATTCGCCTCAGCTCGATGAGCTCTTTCGAATGAGCTATCACGCGAAAAATCGAATTTTTCACCCCAAAAAAGTGCTTGGTCCCCCCTATTGTTTTTCGATTTTCGGGGGCCTATATCTCGGTCCACAGGCATCTCCGGAAAAAAAGAGTGGTACCGTTCGACTCAGCTCGCCGAGACGAATCGAATGGTATGGGTCTTATATCGAAACCTTTCCACCGGTATACTATACTACAGCCGAAATTTTTCCTTTATTAAGGAGAAAAATAAGACTCCCACCTCCTTTTTTTCCTTTCCTTTTCTTTACCAATATTAGTTAAAGAAAGAGAAAAGGAGGAGAGAAAAGCAAAGGAAAGGAGGCATCTCTGCGCTCCAGCTAATGTGATTAAAAAAGGAAAGAGGAGATGGCAGAGATGCCTCCTTTCCTTTTCTTTTCTCTCCTCCTTTTCTCTTTCTTTAACTAATATTGTGAAAGAAAAGGAAAGGGAAAAGGAGGATGGGAGTATTATTTTCTCCTTAATAAAAGAAAAATTTCTCTTTATGAGTGAGACTCAGCCGCTCCAAAAGTCGAAAACTTGAGGCCATATAACTTTTTGATTTGGGGGTCGGGCCAAAAGCCAGAAACTACAATAGGTTTTCGACTATGCTCTACAAGATGGTATAACTTTTATGAAAAAAATTCTCCTTTTTTCTCTCCTTTTTTTAATCCGCATTAAATGGAGCAACGGGGTACATTGTTCTCCAATAAGCAAAAAAGAGTATTTTCTCTTTAATAAGAAAAGTGAGGGAAACTTTGAAGTCTTAAACTTTTTGATTTCGGTCGGTGGTAAAAAAATGACGAAACTGAACGTAAAATGAATAATAGGGAGAAGGTATTAACATAAATATCAACTTTCGATAGCTCATTGAGATTATTTGACAGTTTATGATTTTAAAAAATCCCTAATACATTCTAAGCAGTACATTCTAATTGCTCAAAAATTAAGGTTGTATTTGGATTTTATTTCAGTTTTGGGTACATAAATACTACTTAATTAAAAACTCTAAGGAATTAAATACGAAACACAATAATATGAAATTATTCAGATTATACAAACAAATACAGAATAAATCAGTAAAACAATACATACAACCAAAAAACAAAAATACTTATAT